CGCAAGCTGTTGTGGCAGAGGCTCTTCTGCCCGTCCCCCGACTGCGCGAGGTCCTTGACCGCGCGCGCAGCAGTTGCGGTCCACCCCGCCGCCACGTCTGAGATCTTGGACGCGTCGATGTTGGTCCAGAGTTCGTCAAACTCCTCCTCGCACCGGTCGGTGAGCTGCACCTCGGACCGGTTGGTGAGACAGACGAGGAGGGTGATCCCGATGGCGTAGCCGTCCGTCTTTGGTGAGTACTCGCCCCCCTTGGAGATAGAGGGGCAGAGGTAGCCCGTGGACATGTAGAGGGCGGTCGAGCGGCAGCGGACAGACGCGTCGGGACGCTGGTCCTTGGCGAAACCAGTGTCGGCGAGGACGGCGGTGAGCTTCTCGTCGAGCAGGATGTTGTCCGGCTTGACGTCGCGGTGCACGATGCCCTTCGAGTGGAGGTAGACGAGCGCCTCGGTCGCCTCGCACGCAATGCGAACGCGTTGTCGCCACGTCAGCGGCCTCGGCGGCTCTTCCATGCCCAGCCGCCGGAGCTGCGCCGCGCGGTCGGGATCCGAGAGGCGCAGCCGCGCCTCGAGCGAGCCGCCGCGCATCAGTGGCGAGAGGAGGCAGATGCCGTCGGGCGAGATGCAGTAGCCGAGCAGCGGCAGCAGGTGCGGGTGACTCACCGCCTTGAGAAGCTTCACCTCGAGCTCCGCCCGTGACAAGCCGCCCGACTGCCCCGACTTTGCCCGCTTCACGACAAGCGGCAAGTGGCGCAGCTGCGGCGGCGCGGAGAGGGAGAGGTGGAGGTCGGCCGACGCCTCGTAGACGCGGCTGAATCCGCCGCTGCCGATCAGCTTGCCATCGGCAAACCCGTCCGTAGCCGCGGCGAGGTCCGACAAGTTGACCTCGATGGGCGGAGCAGTAGTACTGCTCTGTCCAGGCTCGGCGGCGACAGACAGAGTTTCCAGCTTCGACTCCGCCGCGCTAACCTCCTCGCTCAGCGCCGGCAGCACGCCCACGTGCGCCTTGGCGGCAGCGATGCCTGCTCGGAGCGCGGAGGGGCTGTCTGCCGTGTCGAGCGACTTGAGCGCGCCCATCGCCGCGCCATGCGCCTTGCGCAAGCGCTGGCTGTCCCGCCTTCGCGCCTCCTTGAGCTTGTCGCGCGCACGCTTCGCCGCCGCCAGCACGGCCGGGCTCGCGACGCCGCTGCACGCCTCCAGCGCACTCGCCACGCCCTCGTACACACCAGCGGTCACAGCCTGCTGCAGAGCCTCGTCCGCCGCGGCGATGGCGGCTGCGTCGGCCGGCAGGGGCGGCGCGACTGGAGGAGGTTGTGTCGGCGCCGAGGCGGCGGCGCCGCTGGGGCCCGGAGCCGAGACGACGGCCTCGCCGCCGCCGCTCTTGTTCTTCTTCTTCTTCCCCTTCTTACTCTCCTTGGCGCGCCCCGCCTCCTTCTCCGCCTCCTCCTCCGCCAGCAGCGCCTCGGCATGCCGCGCCGCCTCCGCCTCTGCCGCCGCACTCTCCACCTCCCTCGCCGCTGCCTGCGCTGCCTCCTTCGCCGCTGACTGCGCCGCCGCGTGCTCCTCGAGGGCGCGCACGCACTCGCTGTGGCCCCTCTCTTCGGCCAGCTGCAGCGCTGTCCTGCCGCTCGCATTGAACGCCGTCGTATCGGCGCCCGCTCGCAGCAAGTGGCGCACAATGGCGGGGTGGCCTTCGCCGGCGGCAAACATCAGCGCGGTGTTGCCAGTGCTGTTCTGCGGGTCGACCTCCGCGCCGCGCTGCAGCAGCAAGTCAACCACCCGCTCGTGGCCGTTGAAGGCGGCGGCCATCAGCGTGGTGTCGCCATTGCTGTTCTGCTGGTTGATCTCCGCGTCGCGCTGAAGTAACAGCTCGACCGCCCGCTCGTGGCCGTTGAGAGTAGCGCCCATCAGCGCGGTGAAACCGTAGCTGCTCTGCACGTTGATCTCCGCGCCGCGCTGCAGCAGCAGCTCGACCACCCGCTCGTGGCCGTGGCCAGCGGCGAGCATCAGCGCGGTGCCGCCGACGCTGTCCTGCAGGTTGAACTCCGCGCCGCGCTGAATCAGCAGCTTGACCACCCGCTCGTGGCCCTCCTGAGCGGCGGCCATCAGCGCGGTGACGCCGCTCACACCGGCCGCCCAGCAAGTCGCGTTGACCTGCCCGCCGCTGTCGAGCCACGCCAGCAGCGCCGCCTCGTCGCCTTGGAGGGCCGCTTCAAACGCCTCTTCGGGAAGGCCCAGCGAGCCGGAAGAGGCCGCTTCGCCCGAGGAAGCACCGCCCGCGACGCCCGCCGCCGCCTCGCGCCGGCTCGCAGCCACCTCCGCGACGTGCTGCCGGAAGGCCCCGACGCACTCACTGTGGCCCTCCTCCTTGGCCAGCTGTAGCGCGGACTTGCCATTCTCAGAGCGCAGCTTCGTATCCGCGCCCGCCCGCAGCAGGCGGAGCACGATGGCGGAGTGGCCTTTGACGGCGGCAACCATCAGCGCGGTGCCGCCGTAGCTGTTCTGCTTGTTGATCTCCGCGCCGCGCCCCAGCAGCAGCTCGACCACCCGCTCGTGGCCGCTGGCGGCGAGCATCAGCGCGGTGACGCCGTAGCTGTTCTGCAGGTTGACCTCCGCGCCGCGCTGCAGCAGCAGCTCGACCACCCGCTCGTGGCCGCTGGCGGCGAGCATCAGCGCGGTGGCGCCGTCGCTGTTCTGCAGGTTGACCTCCGCGCCGCGCTGCAGCAGCAGCTCGACCGCCCGCTCGTGGCCGTTGCCAGCGGCGTTCATCAGCGCGGTGCGACCTTTGCTCTCCTGCTTGTTGACCTCAGCGCCACGCTGAAGCAGCAGCTCGACCACCCGCTCGTGGCCGTTGTTGGCGGCGAGCATCATCAGCGTGATGCCGCTCCCATCGCCCGCCCGGCAAGTCGCGTTGACCCGCCCGCCGCTGTCGAGCCACGTCAGCAGTGCCGCCTCGTCGCCTTGGAGAGCTGCGTCCACCGCCTCTTTGGGAAGGATGCCCAGGGAAGAGGCCGCGGCCCCCGCTCCCGCCGCCGCCTCGACCGAGGAAGCGCCGCCCGCGCCGCCCGCCCCCGCCTCACGGTGGCTCGCAGTCACCTCCGCGATGTGCTGCCGGAAGGCCTCGACGCACTCGCTGTGGCCCTGCTCCTTGGCCAGCTGCAGCGCGGACTTGCCGTCTGCAGCGCGCAGCTTTGTATCCGCGCCCGCCCGCAGCAGGAGGCGCACGGTGGCGTGGTGGCCTTGGCCGGCGGCGCGCATCAGCGCGGTCCAGCCGTAGCTGTTCTGCAGGTTGGCATCCGCACCGCGCTGAAGCAGCAAGTCGACCACCCGCTCGTGGCCGTTGGAGGCGGCGATAACCAGCGCGGTGACGCCATTGCTGTCCTGCTGGTCGATCTCCGCGCCGCGCCGAAGCAGCAGCTCGACCACCCGCTCGTGGCCGTTGAAGGCGGCGCCCATCAGCGCGGTGACGCCGGTGCCGTCGTGCTGGCTGACTTCAGCGCCGCACTGAAGCAGCGACTCGACCACTCGCTCGTGGCCTGCGAGGGCGGCGTGCATCAGCGCGGTGGCGCTGTCGCTGTTCTGCTTGTTGATCTCCGCGTCGCGCTGAAGCAGCAGCTCGACCACCCGCTCGTGGCCGTTGCCGGCGGCGATGTGCAGCAGCGTGTCACCAGCTGCGTTGGCCGCGTTAACGTCGGCCACGTCGCTGCTGAGCCACTTCCGCAGCTCTCCTACTTTGCCGGTCGCCGCTGCCTTCACGACGTTGGCTGCATGTTGTGCGGCACACACTTTCTTTTTTCGCACTACACTGGGATGGCTAGCAGAGGCAGCTAGCCCATGAGGAGAGCGTCCATAGACACCTCACTAGACCCCACATACGGTCTCGTCCGTGCCTCGCAGGCCGGTGAGATTGCTAGAGGTGGAGCAAGCTGCTCTAGCCTCACATGTCACTTCCTGTCGTCTGTTGTTTGAGTTGTGCCCTTGTTTGTGCCCTTGGCACCGTGGAGTGCTGGGGGGGGCGACAGGGAGGATGTGGCCCTGAGTGATGTGTACGCCGACTCAGGGTGTGTGGCAGCCAGCTGGCTGTGTGTCTTGTGAGCCTGTTTGTGTCTGTGTGTCGCTCGTGCGTGTCGTCATCATCTGTCCAGCGTCCACCCATACCGCGTTGGTGTCCAGTCCGAGCCTGGCTGTTCTTCACCTTTCTACCTACCTACCTACTGGGACTTGCGGGAGTTACCTGTGTGAGTGCCAGTGCGCGCCAGTCCCGTGCCCAGTGTTGTGCGAGGGAGTTTGGTTGTAAAATTCTTTTTCGAGGGCGAGGTAGGGCGGCGCGAGGCGGCGGCGCGGCGAGGCGGCGGGCGGCGCAGGGCGGGGCGGCGCGGCGGCGGGTGGTATAATTACTTATTAATTAATTAATAATGAATTATTAATCATCGGGCGGCGGCGCGGCGCGGGGCCCCTCGTGCGCGGTGCGGTGCCTTCGTTTGCTCCTTAGTCGTTATTTTGTTTTCGCGCTTGTGGTTTTTTTGGCACTTTCGTCACCCTACTCCTTCTCCTCCTCCGGACGGTGGTGGTGGTGGGGGGGGGCCGGGGGGGGGGGGGGGGGGCGAAAAAAGTCCCGGGAGCCGCACCTCCCAGGGTTTCAGGGCCGAAGTTGGCGCTCCCCTAAATTCCCCCCCCCGGGGTCTAAGGGGGGAAGGGGTATTTTTCCCTTATCGGGCGTTGAGGGGGGGCGGGGGCCCAAAAGGGGTTTGGGCCCGGGTCCATCGCCGCGAGGCTCGGGGGCGCGAAACACCCGGGGGGGGTTTTCGGGGGGCCGGGGTCTGCTCTCCCGGGGCCGGGGTCTGCAGCCCCCTGGAGCCTAAAAATAAAGCGGCCCGCGGTGGGGCGGAAGCTGGTCAGGTTTCAAGGACCATACCCCCCAAAAAGTCCAAACCCGGGACTAGTCCCGGGGCGGGGGGGGGGGACCTGGCAGGGGGGGCCTTTCCCTCGGGGGGTTCCGCTACCATGGAGGCCAACCCCGAGTCCCCGATTGACGCGCTCCCCAAGGCCCCCGCGAAAAAGGACGCGGGGGACCACCCGAGGGCCGTCCGCCTCGCGGAAAAAAACCTGCGGAT